AGGAGTGGCTGGTGGGTTTGAACCGCCAGCCTTCTGGTTAGCAGTCAAGTGGCTTAGGCACTGCACCACCAGAGCTCCTTGGAAACCCTACGAGGCAGTTATGCTCTGTCCTATGGAGTCACTGTAAGTTGAAATCAACTCGATGACAATGGGTTTATTTAATTTTTGGAAATAATCTTTATGGGAGCAAATCACCAGGTCTTTCTCACATGGAGCCACTTAAAAAACAAACAAACAAACTCACTGCTGTCAAGTCAATTCAACTCATAGTGACCCCTCCTTGGGTTTCCGAGGTGGTATCACTATGGAAGTAGATTGCCCACTCTTCCTTCTGAGGGTTTGAACCGCCAGCCTTCTGGTTAGCAGTCACATGCCTTAGGCACTATACCACCATGGAGCCACTGGGTGGGTTCAAACTACCAACCTTTTCGGGTAGCAGCGGAGTGCTTAACCATGGTGCCATCAGGGCTCCTTGAAATATGATATCTATCTACAAGTTAGAAAAAAGTGTCCCTTGTAGATGGTCACCAACCTGTGCCAGGATGCCCACTGTGGGCTGGGACTGAGCCCCTATTCATTCCCTCAGCAGGGCATCCTGGTGCAGGACACACCCTACACAACTGCACATGGTCAGCCTGGGGAGCCCTAGAGCGGTGCTGTCCGGTAGAACCTTCTGGAATGATGGAAGCGTCCTATAGCTGCACTATCCAGCAGGGTAACCACTAGCCCCAGATGGCTACTGAGCATTTGAAATGTGCCTAGGGCACCTGAGATGCTGAATTTTTATTTTTTTTATCTTTTTTTATTTTCATTAATTTAAATTTAAATAGCCACACGTGGCTGATGCCATTGCCTCGGGCAGTGAAACTCTTCAAAACGTGCAGAGAAGCTGCTGAGTAAACTGGGAGGGCAGAGGCCCTTGTCTTGGGACTTGTGTGCTGGGTTTTATGTGAGTTAGAGAGCTAAATTCAGGCATCGTCCTAGTGAGGGGATCCTGGGAGTCGGGGGACCAGGCTTCTGAAGGGTACAGTTTCAATGAAGAGCTGAGGCTGGGTGGACTCAGAGAGCTTGGTGCAGGGCAGTGGAAGCCGGGGTGAGTGCAGAGGGCGTATGGGCCAATTTGACACCAAATCTCTGGGTTACCAAAAGCAGCAGAAAACCAAAACCAACCCAGTATGTGCCGGAGAACTCTGCTCCGTTGGGTTTTCAATGGCTAATCTTTCTGAACTGGTCTCCAGGTCTTTCTCCCCAGGCACCTCTGGGTGGACATGAACCTGTAACCTTTTGGTCAGCAGCTGAGTGTGCTAACAGTTTGTACCACCCAGGACTCTATCTCTGGGTTAAATGGTGTAAACTGTCTGGGCTTTTATCCTCGCTCTTTGTCCAGCTTCTGTGAGATCTCCCACCCCCCTACTCTGGAGCTTCTGAAAGACCCCCCTGTGGGTGTGGTCTGTTGTCAAGTGGGCTCACGGGGCTCCTGCTGTTATGGTAGGAGGAAGGCGATGTGGTTTGGCAGTTACACTAGATCCCGTTCTTTGGCTTCAAATAGAGCCAGGAGGCAGATGGGGAGTTTTCTGAGTGATAACAGAGGCTGGGGGACTTTTGCTCTGGGGGCCACTGACTCCCTCCACACCCTTCATTCTGGGCCTTTCCTCAATTTTTAGGATTACAAAGAGGCCGCCTGGAGCCTGGCCCTTTACCAGGGACTTGGTCTGCATGTTCTCTGGCGGTCTCGTTCCTCCCTGGAATTCCCAGAGGTCAGCCTGAGCCACCCTCTCATCTCTTCCAAAGGGAAGAGGCTGGGAATGGATGTGCTGGTCTGCGCACTGCCAAGCAGGAGATAAAGGGTAAAAATAGGTTTGCATTGGACTTCGGAGTGCAGCGGTTAAGGGCAGGGGCTTTGCTCTCGACCAGAACCAAGTTTGAGTCCAGTCCTTGCTACTTACTAATTGCGTAAACTTGGCACCTCTTTTAATCCCTCTATGCCCTGGTCCCTGGTGGTGCAATGGTTAAAGTGCTCAGCTGCTAACTAGAAGGTCAGTGGTTGGAACCCACCAGCCACTCAAAAGGAGAAAGATGTGGCAGTCTGCTTCTGTAAAGATTTACAGCCTTGGGAACCCTGTAAAGGCTGTACTCCTTCGTCCTATAGGGTCACTATGAGTTGGAATCGACTTGAGGGCAGGGCAGTGGGTTAAGCCTCTGATTCTTCACCTGTGAAAGGGAACAGGGGGTTATTATAAGCATGAGCTTTGCCAGTGTGAACCTGTTTCCTAAGCTGTCAGTCAATGCTGTGATGTTGACTCACAGTGACCCTATAGGACAGAGAACTGCCCCGATAGAGTGTCCAAGGCTGTCCTCTTTACAGGAGCAGGTCACTAGGTCTTCTCCCAAGGAGCACCTAGGTGAGTTTGAACTGTCAACCTTTTGGTTAGCAGCTGAGCGCTTAACTGTTGTGACACGAGCATTCCCTCAGTAAATGTTAAGGAATAGTAATTATAATTATGACTATTATCATTTTTAACCAGCTAACCAGATGATTTCCTCTTTCCAGGGGGACACTATGTATGCGTGTATTTTCTGAGCATGTGAGGTGACTATTGATGGGCATGGCCTTGGGGAAGGTTTCCCCTGAGGTACTGGACAAACCAGAGAGCTTGTGCTGAGTTACTCTTGGCCTTCTCATTCTAGCACCAGTGGGAGACCCTTCCTGCTCTACGTGGGCCTGGCCCACATGCATGTGCCCTTATCTGTGACTCGGCCGTCTGCTGATCTGCCAGGCCGAAGGCCATATGCTGCAGGTCTCCGGGAGATGGACAGCCTGGTGGGCCAGATCAAGGACAAAGTTGACCGCACAGCGAAAGAAAACACATTCCTTTGGTTTACAGGTAAAGCAGTAAAAACCAGCAGCTTAATCGCAGTCTAATGGATAACCCTGCACACGCCCCTAAAGAGAAGTGTCTGGTCAGCCGACCCTCTTTAATGGGGCAGGAGGCTTGCTTTGAACTTGGGGCGCTGCTAGTATTTGTTGGCTTGAATGCTGGGCATCTGTCTGTTGGAGCCCACAAGACTGAGCCTGTAGGAAGTTTTGCACAGAGAGCAGACACCCTGCTGGCCCCTCCTGTATTGATCAGGGCTAACTAGGCAGTGCTTTGATTGCTAATGAGTGACTTTGACATTGAGAGGCTGGCTGCCTAGTCCTCTAGCAGTCTTTACTATCCTCTCCAGTCACCAGATCACATCTTCTGGCTGATTGTCCTTAGTGGAACTGAACTAGTGGCCCTCTTCAAGAACTAGTCACTTCAACTAGTGACCCTCAGCAGTTTACATGCTTGGCCACTAACAGAAAGGTTGAACATTTGAGTCCACTCAGAGGTGTCTCTGAAGAAAGTCCTGATGAACCACTTCTGAAAAATCTGCCTCTGAGAACCATAAAGAGCACAGTTCTGTTCTGACGTACATGGTCCCCAGAGGTCGGAGTTGACTAGATGGCAACTGTGTGCACACACACATGCTGGGTCTCAGGTCCCTGTGTGAATCAGGGGCAATAGTTCAAAACACTGTTTCCGGGTCAAGTAGAAACCCGGGTTTGTCAAGTAGAAACCCAGGTTTCTACTTGACTGGGTTTCATTGGCTAACTAGATGATTTCCTGGGTTGCTACTGGGTTTTACTACTTCTCTCCTCCAAGGTAGAAAGCCGGGCTCTAAGTAACGTAACCTACGTTTCCTCATCTGCAAGACTTGAGCGTTATAAGATGATGTATGTGAGGCGCTGGGCACATAATAGGTGCTCAGTAAATGGTTGCTTGTTGTTGTTATTGTTAGGTGCCATCGAGTCAGCTCTGACTCATAGTGACCCTTTGTACAGCAAAATGAAACACCACCTGGTTGTGCACCAGCCTCACAAGCCTTGCTATACTTGAGCCCATCATTGCAGCCACTGTGTCAATCCATCTTGTTGAGGGTCTTCCCCTTTTTCACTGACCCTCTATTTTACCAAGCATGATACCCTTCTCCAGGGACTGGTCCCTTTTAACAACATGTACAAAGTAGGTGAGATGAAATATGGCCATTCTCACTTCCAAAGAGCATTCCGGCTGCACTTCTTCCAGGACAGATTTGATTGTCTGACAGTCCCTGGTATTTTCAATATGCTTTGCCAGCACCATAATTCAAAGACATTAACACTTTTTCAGTCTTCCTTATTCACTGTCCAGCTTTCACATGCATATGAGGCAATTGAAAATACCATGACTTGGGTTAGGCACACCTTAGTCTTCAGTGTGACATCTTTGCTCTTCAGCACTTTAAAGAGGTCTTTTGCAACAGATTTGCCCAGTGCAATATGACCTCTGATTTCTTGGCTGCTGCTTCCATGGGTGTTGGTTGTGGATCCAAATAAAATGAAATCCCTGGAAACTTCAATCTTTTCTCCATTTATTGTGATGTTGCTTATTTGTCCAGTTGTGAGGATTTTTGTTTTATGTTGAGGTGTAATCCGTACTGAAGATTGTAGTCTTTGATCTTCATCAGTAAGTGCTTCAAGTTATTTTCACTTTCAGCAAGCAATGTAATGTCCTCGGCATATTGCATATTGTTAATGAATCTTCCTCCAGTCCTGATACCGTGTTCTTCTTCATGTAATCCAGCTTCTCCAGATTATTTGCTCAGTATACAGATTGAATAAATATGGTGAAAGCATACAACCCTGACGCACACCCTTCCTGATTTTAAACCATGCAGTATCCCCTTGTTCTGTTCAAGCAGCAGCCTCTTGGTCTATGTACAGCTTCTTCATGACACAATGAAGTGCTCTGGTATTCCCATTCTTCACAATGTTACCCATAATTCATCATGATCCACACAATCGAATGCCTTTGCATAGTCAATAAAGCACAGGTATTCATCCTTCTGGTATTCTCTGCTTTTAGCCAAGGTACATCTGACATCAGCAATGATGTCCATTGTTCCATGGCCTCTTCTGAATCCAGCTTGAATTTCTGGAAGTTCCCTGTCAATACACTGTTGCAACCATTTTTGAATTATTTTCAGCAAAATTTTACTTGTGTGTAATATTAATGATATTGTTTGATAATGTGCACATTTGGTGGGATTACATTTGTTTGGAATGGGCTCAAATATGGATCTCTTGCAGTCATTTGGCCAGGTAGCTGTCTTCAAATTCCTTGGCATAAACAAGTAAGTGCCTCTGGAGCTGCATCTGTTTGTTGAAACATCTCAGTGGGTATTCTGTCAATTCTGGGAGCTTTGTTTTTCATCAGTTCCTTCAGTGCAGCTTGGACTTCTTCCTTCAGTACCGTTGGCTCTTGATCATATGCCACCTCCTGACACAGATGAACATCAACCAGTTCTTTTTGATACAGTAATTCTGTGTATTCCTTCCATCTTCTTTTGATGTTCTCTGCATCGTTCGATATTTTCCCCATAGAATCCTTCAATATTGCAATTCAAGGCTCAAATTTTTTCATCAGTTCTTTCAGCTTGCAAAATGCTGAGCATGTTCTTCCCTTTTGGTTTCTAACTGCAGGTCTGCACATTTGGTTGTAATAATTGACTTTGTCTTTTCGAGCTGCCCTTTGAAATCTTCTGTGCAGCTCTTTTTTTCTCATCATTTCTTCTGTTCACTTTAGCTACTCTGGTAGCTACAATGGTTATGGGATTGGTGAAACTGTATAAAATGGTAAAGGTACATAAGGCAAGAGACTGCAGATGGTACTAGCCGAGGGCAGGGAAAGTCAAGTAGAGACTGGTTCAGATACAGGGTGGGGGTCCTATTTGTTATTACAAGTCCTTCTAGCCAGCCCCCTGCTAGAATCAGGAATATGAAGCCGGAGAGGGAGAGTCATTGCACTACCAATATGTTGTCTGTTACATGGTTTTTTTGTTTGTTTGTTTCCAGGTGACAATGGCCCGTGGGCTCAGAAGTGTGAGCTGGCAGGAAGCTTGGGTCCCTTCACTGGATTGTGGCAAACTCGTCAAGGTATAGGGCTCAGCTGGGGTTGGGGTCCTACTGTGGGTGGTGAGCCCAGGTTAGGGTGTGGGATTCTGCCTCTGAGAAGGGCAAGTCATATCCAGCCTCAGTGCATCACCTGGAATCAGGGACAAAGTTGCTCCCCTGCCCCTTTGCTCCCAGAGAATAAGGGACAAGTTGGGGACAGAGAGAAAGTTTCTGCTCAGCCTGGACCATCCCTTTCTCTCTTTCCTCCCAGAACTCCCCTAAGGGAACAGGCCTCTCCTGCCAAGCCAGTCTACCATCCTTGCAACAAATAGGCTTTGCCTTTCCTTTCACCCTGCTGTCCTTACCTCTCTTCCTTTTAACAAGTCATCCCTTCCACCATCCACCCATGCATTCATTTCATTTACTGAAGAAACATGTAGTGCTCACCTGTGCACTCTGCCATTCATAGGTTTTCCCTGGCCAGTTCTTTGAGA